ATGGAAGAGGCTGACCTGTACAATAACGGACAACATGGCTTCCGGCGTAATCGTTCCTGTTTGTCGCAGTTACTGGAGCACCATCACCGTCTGGTGGCCCAGCTGGAGGAGGGAGCTGGCGTGGACGTGGTATACCTAGACTTTGCTAAAGCTTTTGACAAAGTTGACCATGGGGTGCTCTTTAGATAGCTGAGACTGTTGGGGGTAAGAGGAAACCTGTTAGGGTGGATCCACAACTTCCTTACAGATAGAGTACAAGCTGTCGCAATTGTAAACTCGAAATCAAGAGAAGCGAGGGTGAAAAGCGGAGTTCCACAGGGCGCAGTGCTTGTACCGATCCTCTTCCTCATCCACATTGCCGATATTGACTCAGAACTCACCCACGCATCTACATCGTCATTTGCGGACGAGACAAGAGTTCTGATGAAGATCGCAGATGACCTAGACTGAGAGAGGTTACAGGATGACTTGTCGACAATCTACGATTGGGCCCTCCTAGTGAACAATATGGAGTTCAACGGCATCAAGTTCAAAGTAATGAGATACAGAATCCGAACAGAGATCGGGATGCTGTTACAGTGTCTCATGCGGGTGAGACAAACTCGTCTGCTTGTGGATTTAGAGGTCTCTATACGGTGAAAGGATAATGAAACAATTTCTCTATAAAATGAATTAAGGGATCTTGTAGAAAGTTAATTAAAACAAGTGACTGAAGTAGCAAAACAAACTCTATGGGTAATAATGACTAATAAAAGTAATGTGTGGATTGTGAGTAGTTATGCTAAAAAGTGTACTAGAAATTAGAGCATTGGCAGGCAGAGGTGATAGTGCCAGTCAACTGCAAAGCAAAACTAAAATTAATTTACTAGAATTAACTGAAAATATACATGACAAGGCTTTGGAACATGTGAAATATTTTAAGGGAACTTAACCCATCATGGCCATCATGCCAAATAAGGCGATAAAACCTGCTTGAAGCATCAATTAATAGAACAGAAAAAAGTTAATAGAGCACATTGAATAAGTTAAACCTAAAGTTTAACACTGAAATTAATGCCTAAATAATGAGTAAACAAATGATTGGCTAAAAAATGCTAAATAATCTAAGTGGAACTCGAAGAAAAGCATAGAATACATGGAACAAAATTGCTGGGACAACGGTATGAGCACATAATATGTGAGCACAAATCAAAATGCACATGTCAATAACCCTTGCAATGCCAAAAAGCGAAATGAAGGACCAATATCTCTAATTAAAATATTATGGAACAAAGCCTAAATAAGAAAGAATTGATCAAGACAGTAACACTCAAGACACTAAACACCGTCTTACCATTAGCCTGAAGGGACAACATCATCAGTCAACTCACCTACCTAGGCAATAGTCCTTGGAGCGGTTCGACGAGGTGTTGGTTTCTGCCCTCTCGACCATCACCAATGTCAGCTTCGAGCGCGAATCTCTTGAACAAGCTGTGTTGCCGGTCCGGCTGGGAGGCCTGGGTATCCGTATGTCAAAGGACATCGCGCTCCCTGCGTTCATATCGTCACTCCACTCCGTCCNTAGAGAATGAGACTTCTAGAATAGTGACATATTACAACAAAAGTAGGGGGAGACTGTACAGGATTCCCCCATTTAATAACCGAGCCACGGCCAGAGTACAGACTCTTCGGGAGGCGGTGACTGTCCGTGATATAACCGAGGCTCTTTAATGTTTTGCCAAAAGTGCTGAGAGGAGAGAAGTTCACCCTTGCAACATTCAAGAGACGACTGGACAATTGGTTGAGAAAGATCCTGGATTGTCCAGTAATGGGAAACTACCCTCAAGTAAGTGACAAGCAACAGCATCTTGCATCAGCTGGCCCAAAGGACAAATATACGGAACACGTCCAACGTTACCTACATCCGGGACCCGAGGGCGGGGTGACCCATGGTTGAACTATAGAAGGTTGACCCACGAGAAGTTCCGTCTTTCAGTTCAGCTTTCTTGCTACGTCACGTAGATCGAGAAACGTAAAAAAACGTCATTCCCATGACGTATTAGTTGACTGGTTTGAACGCATTTCGGTGATTGGTTAATGCCCGTGACGTCACTGAGATCAGTGACATCACAGGCGAACAAGGAACGACATCCGCAAAAATGGGCTTCTGATGGGTCAACTTTATAATAATTCAACCATGGGGGTGACCTGCCTAGCGACGACTCGGAGACGAAGGACGACGAAGGCAGCGCATCAGCGTGACCGGGGACTAGGAAGTCCCGAACTCGTTATAAGGTCATAAGGTGAGGCCTGTTGAACACCATGTATGGCTACACAGGTGTACATTATGATTAGTGAATACTCACTCACTTTCCAACACTTGTAAATACTACGCAAACGTGAAAGATTCTTCATGCATATGGTCAGTTTTTCATGTGCTAATTCATTTTCATGTAATGCACATTCATTCGCTCATCCACATTTATTTGTACAACTCTTCTTAAAGACGACTGGTTGAAGGCCTGCAAGCAAGAGTCAGATCCCTGCAAGAACGGCGGCTACACGCGGAAGGACTGCAGCTGCGCGTGTCCACTGGGCACGTCTGGCGACAAGTGTGAGAATCTCGACATGAACTACAATGGTGAGCACGAGAGCCTCAAATAACTTCATAAAGGCTGAAAACTGTTAAAAGTGAATGCCTATAAGCGTAAGTACTCTGTGATAAGAGCTGAAGCAATGAGACATGCTTTCAGAATCTGTATGATCTTCAACAACATAGTCTGTAAGTTTCATTCAATAACTTATAGTCTGTAAGTTCCATTTAATATCTTAATTACTTTGATTGCCTTGCATAATGCGGTCTTAGAAAATGGCTAATTTTACATACAAGCTCTCCTTGTACAAACAAGCTTTCCAAAAAAAGTATTTTTTTCATACTCATTTAGATCAGATTCATTATTCGATCAGCGGGCACATGTATTGCGAAATTATACTTTCTGCAAGAGGCGTTTGTTTTCTGATTTTTGACATTTTTAAAGCATAATATGTGATTTTTATTCCAACTGCTCTGCAAGCATCATTGAGTTGTTCATTATATTTTCTGTTTATCTAAAAATCACAATAATCAAGCGACCTAAAGAACATTTACCTCGCTCTACTCTTAGTGAATTTTGATCCAATGAGATATACCGGTATGCTTGAATATGCTAATTAGGATCCAAACTTGACAAATTAATTGTATCCTGATGAAGCTCCGTAAACAACTCGTCTCGAACTGTGCAACATTAAACTGTATTGCTGTGGGCTCACTCTAAAAGCAAACTAGGCCCAAGCATCAGCGTTAAATACGGCTCGTGATCGTAATTCCAACCCACTTCATGTTCATGTCCCAAGGGAATTCCAACTTCACTTGTATTCGCTATATAATATTTCAAGTTCAAGCCTTAAACTTTCCTGAAAACAAACAAAAAAACTAATCAATAAAATGCTAAAGATAACAAGGTTCCAACGAATGATAAATATTTATAACAAAGATCATATGAACACAGTATTCTAATTAAATCTATTCACAACAATATACACACGATAGTCACACTTTAAATCTCTTCACTAGTACAAGACACGTACCTACGTCACGTCTCCGCACCAAACAATAAGTAGCGCAGCGTTCCTAGAGTGCCGACGTGAACAGTAAGATCGTCTCTAAACCTAAAATTTCAAAAATGTCTTCAATTAAAACCCTAACTGTATACTATTTACTGTCACATGTTTGTATATTTTCAATGTTTAAAGTTAATGTTTCAACATAGATGCCATGGCGAAGAAGCTCTCCTATTATACCGCGATCATCAAGACCTCAGGAGCAAAAGTCACCTCGCCTGACTACCCAAAACCAAGTGGAATGGGAAGTAAGAGTCTTTCATTCCTTTTAGCGTTGTCATATCCGGCTATATTATTTCACTGTGTTACTAAATAATACTATGATAATCATAATTATATTGATGATTTATGTCATTGAGCTTCACTTAAACATGAATTTCATTCGTGTTTAAAATTTGGTGAATGGTGTTGTATCGTTCGACTGGATAAAATAAGAAGAACCTTGTATTTCCGTCGTTGCAAATAAGCTGTGCCAATTTCAGATTGCATGTAATTTTATCAATATGGCTTCCGATTTTCCTGCCTTAAATAAGTTAATAAATCGTATTTCGTTTTATATGGAAATTTGTGATTGTTTTCCCTTGAATTCATTTGAAAACTTCTCTAATTCCATGGTGTTAATTAAAGATGAGTGCTGGTCTGATTTTGAACATATCAGCTCAAGGCAGTAAAGTCGCACAGGTCCTCCATAATTTGCACAGGTCCTCCTTCAGATTTTGTGGCAAAGAAATTATGAAAATATTGCCCAAAATTTAAAAAATAACCCATAAGCCTTTCTTTTTGTATGCTAGTTCGAAGAATAAGACAAGGGACGGTATTGCTGATTTGAATGTAAATCAACGAAAAATGTCTTCTGATGAGGGCAAGGCCAACGTTCTAAATCAATTCTTTAGCAGCGTCTTCACAGATGAGGACTTG